CATACCTCCCCCAAACCTCCTCCCGATACCCCCCATCAACCCTCTCCACCTTCCCCTCCTCCGTCCACCTCCCTCCAATCAGTTCCTCAAAGCTCTCCCCAGACTCCCTTTCCGTCGCCCAAACAGCCTTATAAGCACCCCCAAGCGCACACGCATTCCCACCAACATCCAGTCTCCACACGCCCTCCACACCCCCCAGGACATCACCCACGACCCTCGCGATGGCGGGGTTGAACGATCCACCGCCGACGAGGTAGATGCGTCGGGGCTGTGGGGGAAGACCGTCTCTGCCTTGCACGAGGTTGCGGGAGCGGAGACGGAGAGAGAGGATTTGGGATTCGAGGATGGCGCGGGCATCGAAGTCTACGGGCCAGGGCTCGTTTTGGGGGAGAGGGGTGAGGGAGGTAGAGGTGGAGGAACAGGTGTATCGATACGTGCCAGCGCGGACGTTTGGTACGATCTCCGGGAGGGGGAAGTAGAGTGCTAATTTTGCGGGGTCGGCGGGGGTGTTTTGTCCTAGAGGGGGAGTAGAGAGGGCTGTTGCATTGAATGTGGTCCATGGATCGCTGGATTCAGGAGGAGGCTTGGGGAGCGTATCACGGATCTTTTCACGTGCTAGTCCGCCGTTTTTGTAGCATAGCATGAACATAGATAGACCTGGTGTGGTGGGATGGTTGAAGAAGTGATAGGAAGGGTCAGGACGGTAGGCTGGGGTGGACATTAGGAAGGTTGTTGAGGTTCCGAGTGAGACGATAGCGTCGAGGGGACGAAGGGGAAGCGAGAGGATGGTTGCTGGATTGTCGCCTGTGAAGGGGACGATTCCACAGGTTGGGGAGAAATTGTAGCGCGTGACGAAGTATGGAGAGATGTTTCCTAGACTTCCGCCTCCGTCTTCTCTCACATCTCCAAGTTTTTCTTTAAGCTCTTCGAGGCCATCTTCTCCTGCCGCGAGGGAGAGGAGTGGTTCAGACCATTCCCCTGCGTTGATATCCCAGAGGTTCATACCACAGATATCGCTTATATCAATCTCGGCAATCCGACCAAGAAAGATGGATGCCAGAAACGACGATACAAGACTAATACGTGAAGTAGCATTATAAACCTCAGGATACTTCTTCCGGAACCGCATGATTTGCGGTCCGGTAAATCGCTAATGAGGTGCCGTCAGCAAAGGTTGTGCAACCCACCAATCCAACAGAAAACTGCCTGATTCCTGAAGCCAAGAAAAGCAACTTACATGATGAGCTTTACTCCCCGTCACCTGAGCCAGTTCCTCACTCGACCCAAGGATCCCATCAAACCCATCGCACTCCCGCTGCGTACTAGCATCTTGCCAATTAGGACTAAGCGGATGCGAGAAAGCCTTTTCCGCAAGCCCATCAACAATCCTCTCACGTGGATCAAGATTACCCAGAAGCTCCTCTCCTGTAGCACTCCAATACACACTCCCATGCTGCTGCCCCGCACCCGAGATTCCCTTGATCCGATGAAAGGGGGTTTCTTTCTCCTGAAGTCGTTGGAGAACGAGATCAATGGCTTCTAACCACATGGCGACGGGAGCATTGACTTCATGCTCGGTTTCATTGACGAAAACGCCTTTGTGGATGCCATACTTGCCCAGGTCGGCGTCGAAGTCGACTTTGGCTTCGTAGAGAACCTTTAGTTGGGATGTGATGACAATGGCTAGGAAAGTGTGTCAGTAAGGTTGATCGAGATCAGGGCGGTGAGACAAGGTTCTCAACTTACCTTTCAATTGTTGAGTAGAAAGATCGAAACCCAGATATAATGGTCCATCTGCAGTTGACATTTTGGATGGTAAATCCGAGATGTCCGAATAATTCTTTGCCCCTCGAGAGTTTAATCGAAAGATTGAAAAGGCCGCTCGTGAATGTTCTTCTCTCCCTCAGAAAGTCGACGTCAAAAAAAGAACCTTGGGAATATTTCATACTACAGCAGCTATCAACTGACAAGACAGCGGTCTAGAGCGGAGCTGCACAGCCAACGCCACTCAAAGCGACTTTCCCAAAGAAATTGGAAATCTCACGATCTAACCTAGAGAAGTAGCAAGAGCTACCTATCAACGCGACGCGGGAGCAACGACAGGGAAGAAGGTACTGATGCGTTCAATAAAACTTTCACTGGACATGCTTTTTTGGCTGCCAGTCCACCTGGCCATCCATCGTCCAACAGAACCCTCGCTTCCCCGGAGGAGAACCGGAGCCCCGCGCTGCCGCTGGGCACATCGTGAATACGAACTCTGGAGAAGGAGGGGCATATCATTGACTAAGCACGCTTCTACAACATCGTGTACTCTGAACAATGGTTATCTTCCAAAAATTTCATGGTGTAACTTCAGGTTGCAGACAAACCCCCCACGCTTTTGCTAATCTGGTCTAGGTACCGGCAATAATCCCACCCAACACTCGGCGTGAAGCGAAGACACCTGCAGGATAACTGCATCAATACCCTCAAGGTTTAGGGGGGCGACATGTAGTCAACAGAGAAAAGAAGTGTGTCGATATAGTAAAAAACGAGCAGTCACATAAAGCCCATCAGAGAGGGACAAGAAACGTAAGTGTGTTCAACTACACTCTCATATTTGGTGGTATCATTTCATACGCCATGTCATCCGAACCTTCAACCTCCCTGCCAAATAACGCCATAATCCTTCAATCATTTCATCTACGAACCCGCTTGTAATTATTTTGATAACGATCGTTGTGTCCCTGGTAACCATTCCGTTCTCTCGGAGGCCCTCTGTACTCTGGTCTTCCGGGCTTGATGGCTTCCTCCACTTCCACTTCATATTCTTCGTACTCCACCTTGAAGTACTCGGCTACCGTACCGCGTTCTTGCTTTGCTTTTTCTGGATCCAACATGAAGCGAATAGTTCCTTCTTGCCCACGATAACCCGCACCTTTGCGATTTGAACCGGAGGAACGTGGACTAAGTGTTGCCGGAGATGCAACGTCCTTACCATTAACTCGTAGGTCAGACGGACTAGCTGGAGTGATTGGCGTTTTGGGTGTCTTGATATTTGATTTGATCCCGTTTGTCTTGGGAACTTCCTGGTGTTCTGTGAAACGCTCCATGGTGTATTCCTTCTCCAACTCCTGATTGACCTGTATTCGAATGTTGATAAATTTCTCAATCGGATATGCCATTCCCACCGGAGAAGATTTCTGAAAATGAGTATAGTGCTCAAGCAGATCCAACGTTGTTTCCACAACCTCGGCTCTTTTGGTATGCCACCTTCGATAGGAAGGCGCTCGTTCACCTCGAATGTTCTTTTCTTGTGTCTCCAGAAGTAGAGTAGCGAGTTCGATGCAAGCAAATGACATGGCAGCACAGCTCTGTTTTAATGGAGCAAAAGTTCGGTATAGATCCAACATAATGTTGTAAGCAACCGTTGCCACTTCTTTATTGATATTCGCCTCCTTCGCGAGTTTGATGATGTGTTTATGAGGAAATCGTACACGGAAATCGAACCCGGAGGCTTCTAACATAAGTCTTTCGAGACCGATGACTATTTTCGAGGAATTTTCGAACGTCTGGAAGTTCTGTTTAGTATATGCGACTTCCTGAAAAATGGTATACATACAGGATCATCCGGACTCAAGTGCTCATTTATGGAAACCTTGACATTATGCGCCGCACAAAGAATTTCCCTAGACTTCTTCAAAGTATCCTCAATTTTGCAAGCAGTGAGTAAAGCAGCAGCGGCGGCATCGTGGAATTGGTATTCCGTATCTTTGTGAGCAAGGCGGAACTTATGAAAGTAGACACAGGCTGTACAGAACGTTCGCACCGGGCTGTTTTGAATCAGCGGTGAACAAGAGAAGCAGAAACGAAGCAACTGACAGCTGTAAAGCCGTTCGAACCTCATTGATCCATTGTACACCTTGTAATCTGAAGTTATCCTCTCGAGTAGGGTTTGCGCCCAAAGCAACTAGTTGGCTTTGGAGTTGCTGCTGGAACAGGTATGGTTTTGCGACCTGGATGTATGATGGGTGAGGTCCAGTTGGGGGAGCGTTGAAGGTGTTTGGCGCAGGTGGCGCAGCTTCAGAACGGCTTTCCGGAGCCATGTTGAATGTTGTATGAAGATAAACCTTTGAGCAGCCTGGCGACAGTTGAACGCGATCAAGCAGCCTGAGCTTGAGCCTTTTCCACAATCCCTGGCTCCTAGGCCTGGCATCCTGCGATTAGATAAGAGCCGCATTCTAAAGCCAGACCAAAGGTTGATAAGGCGAGTCGGAGCCGGCAGCGGAACTTTACTCCCGGCCCACAGCCAGCCGCCTGCAGATTCACTTACAGGCCACTAGGTGAATGCCAGTAAGAATTCACTTTAGGCTAAATGAAGTGAAACCCGTTGTGGCGTTTCCCAGCACAGTTCAGACTACTGAAAGCATGTACCCGCACGAATCAGAGTGAAGAGAACCCCAAAACAGGGGAAGAGGCAAGGAGGGGAGCTCTCCAGAAATGAGTTCTGGAAGCATATGTTCGTCTAGTCAATACTCGCACATATATATCATATCAAATTGCTATCGCAACACGACCTCTTGAACAATCCAACCCTGTGTGTTCTTGAATCTCCCAACGTCCCCCTTCTTGATGTGCTAAATGCGAATCCTCTATGCGACTCTGGACATAATAAATGTGTAACCGATGCCACGAGAGTACAAAGCTCTGTGACTGATAAACGCCGTCCCACCCGCGCCCGTTTGGACAACTTTTCTAACATCTGATATCTACAAGTACCACTCTGATCTATAGCTCCTTCTTTCCATGGCTGTGGTCATGATCGTGCCCATGATCGTGGTCATGCTCCTCTGGATTCACCTCCACATCTCCACTGATGAATTCATCAAATAGTGAAGCAGAAGCATCGTCTTTGGGAACGAAGCGCACCTTCACCCTGCGAACACCACGAACACTCGACCCGACAGCCTCCCGAACATTCTCTTCAACTTCTCGTATCTGTTCAAGGCTCCAGGACTTTGGTACCCCGATTTGTAAATCCACAAGATAGTTCTGTCCGGATTTTACACCTTCCACCTCGCGCAATTCGATTTGAGTTGCGGAGCCCAGGCCTGACAATCTCTTGTTTGCTGCTTTACTTATTGAACCTTTGGTTGCCTCGTCGATACCCTTATCAGCCAATTCGTATAGTGCTTCCACGGTGTTTCCCCATCCTCCCTTGATCACCATCAGAGAAATCAACAGTCCCCCAACAGGATCCAGCCACGCCGCCTCATTTAAGAAATTGGCGCCCAGAATGGCACCTAGTGTTACAATTCCGGTGAGGGAATCAATTCGGTGATGGATCGCATTCGAAGCTAGGACAGAGGATTTTCGTGCTTTTGCGATTTTCATTGCTGAAGATGGTTAGCTTTGGTATAGAAGGTGTTCAATGGTAGAAAGAGCTTACTGGCTTGATATAACCATTCCTTGACCAGAATGGTACCCAATGCTAACCAGGCAGCATGAAGACTAGGTGCGTCGGATCCATGGCTATGAGAATGGCCATGGGAATGCGCTGCTGCTTCCGCGGCAGCGTGAGCATCCAAAAAGAAATGCGCGTATAGAATTTCGCAGCTGTTAAAACACATGAAGCACCCTCCGAACAACAGCATACCACTGACACCTAATGATCCCAAGCTTTCAATCTTTCCATATCCAGTTGGAAATAACGTCGTTGGGGGCTTCAAGCTCCATGAGACGGTTGCCAGGGTTAAGATATCGCTGGCCAGATCTGTTAGACTATGCCATGCATCTGCAATCATCGCTTGTGAATTAAACGCGTAACCTCCAATACCCTTGACGATGGCCATTGACAAGTTGGTGTAGAGGCCAATTCGCGTTATCCGCACGCCAGGGTCTTGCTTGTTCTTGGACACCAGGTAGGTATTATCATGGTGGTGGTGATGATGCGCATGCGCATGCGCGCGAGTTTCTGTTTTGGTAAGGGTAGCCATTGGAAAAAGCCTCGGGGAGAATGGGCGGTAGGAAAGAGGATGTAGTTGTTGTGAGAAAGCTCTCAGTCGCGCTCGAGGATAGATGTGGTCTTTTGTGCAGGTATGAAACACTGCCGAGTTGTCACGAACGTGCCGGGAAGGGTACCAGTATGAGGATGGTGAATGTGATAGCGACGGAAGATGTGTTCTTAAAGTCAGCCTCACTCTCACTCGCACTCGCGGGGCGACGACCGGCCTAAACGAGAACAAGCTCGCGCCGTGAGTGAGAAATGGGAAAGTCATATATTGGAGAGGGCTGGAAGTGTGTTCAGGCTTCCCAATCGAGAATCCAACACACCTGCAACCTTCGTACCTGCCCGTGCAAATGGAGGGGAAGGGACTCGCCGAGGAAAGTTCCACCGGGTAAAGTGGTAGGAAAGGTACGGAAGGTACAGTAGTCAAGCGACCGAGGTGACACCTTGGGGGAGTGGCTTATCTGAGTGTGGGTGAGGATGTCGGTAGTTGTGTTTTCTACGGCAAGATTTGCTGCTGCTGCTGCCGCCGCCGACTGTCTGCACGTATTCAACTTGACCCCTCATGAGTGAGTTGTGGTGTGAATGATGGGGTGAAGGAGCCAGTGGAAGGGGAGCAATGGTCACTCGAAGCAGGTACAGATGCAGGGGCTTGCAGTAGTTGCAGTGTCAGAACCAACTTTCGGATGTATTTTTGTATAGCTATGTATATCTGGACAGCTATATCAATCTATACTGGCACAGGTCTCCAGTCCTAGGTAGGTACAGAATGGGTTGACGCTCCTCTATACCTGGGTATCCAGGTGCAATTGAGAGACGGGAGTGTGTATTGGGTATTGGTGATGATTGAACCCTTGCTAGCATTAGTAAGTGCTTAGGTAACCATCAATATTGCCCTATTGCTCCGAGTACTTTCGTACAGTAGAGAGTTTAAAACGAACTACCTAGTTGGTCTAGAAATAGGAGACTAGCTAGGTAGGTATGAGTAGTAGGTATGATTACAAGACTCTCTTGATGAAGTGGGAGTATGGAACACAGACATAGAAGGCGTACATGTATTAGAAAGAAGCAGTTTGCAGGTCGAAGGACACCCTTGGGCTCAATGGTTCTACTCAAGTACTTGTACACCCCCTTTCAATCTACTATTGGTGTAGTATCTTTCTGGAGACAGTCGGACGATCAGACGTGAAACAAGGACAAGCACAAGCATACTAGGTAAGCTTATACCTTTGACTGTGAATACTCTGTTTTCAAATTCTGCATGGCCTTTAGGAATAATACCTATAGGTAGCAGTAGAGGGGATAGGTGGCTCAGTGCGTAGGTAGATACTGCATATATCACCCTCTACTCGAGTACTCGTACCTACATGAGTATCACCAACTTCCCCAGACCTGAGTGACACTCCCGAGGTCCTCGACTCGGTGACATCACATGCGGACTGTACGTACAGTACCTAGGTAAGTACGAGTACAGCACTGGTATGCCAGGAGCCACGCAATGCTACGACTCTCCCATGGTATCGGTAGCTCGCAACAACCTGCGGCATCTACCAGCAACAACCCAGGACCAATCGACTACTGTACTCTTCGGCCGCGCATACTAGCCAACCGTCCCGTCTCATTTGTACTGTACAGTACATACAGTACAGTGTATCTTCTAGTTATTTAACACCCACTTTCGTCATCCGCATCGACGCCGGGTTGACCAAGATGAGATGTCCATTTTGGGTGACCCCTCCGCGCTGCCAACCACCTCTTAGCAAAGAGGCGGTTGAACCAAAATATTGGTCGCGTCAATGATCCCCCCTCCCCCCTTTCCCCTTTCC